AGAAGACTGAGAAGGAGGAAACCGGGGGAGTGGAGGCAAGGCGACGTCAGTAGGGTGACGCAGGGATGGAGTGGGGCCGGGGTGGGAGGCAGAGCTGGGCTGGGGCAGGACTGACCACGGCCTGCGCGATGCTCCGGAGAGAAGGGCGCGCAGCGCGAAGGGGGCAGCCCAATGCACGGGCGCGCGCCGCTCTCCCACTTCCCTGGACCCCGGACAAGCTGTCACCAAGACCTTGAGGGTCAGGGTTCAGGGCAGGCGCTCGGGAGGCCAGCCGCTGGACTGCAGCCAGAGCCCACTACACCCCCAAAGGGCCGCCTTCTTTCCAATTCTGTGCAAAGAGCAAAGGGATCCCCAAATAAGGGCACGCTCCTGTGTTCACCGGCTCCCGGAGAAGGTTGTCCTGGAACGGACCGCCCTCCCGAGGCCTCAGGGCCTAGCAGGGCCGCAGCCAGGGCCAGCCCTCAGCCGTCCCGGCTCAGGAGTCCCTCGTTGGGAAGAGCCGTTTCCCACCTGGCCACCGAGTACGACACGGCGTCTCCCCCGTTGCCTTGGGGTCTGGTGGGGTCTGGCCTGCAGGCCCAGCTGGGGGTTGTCGGGGCCACAGCGCCTGGCCTCAGGCCGTCCTGGCGTTATCATTGCAGCCAGGCCAGGTTCAGTCTGTGGGGAGCAGGTCGCCTGGCCCTTCTGGGTCCCCCTGAAAGTGACCCCTGCCTCCAGGGCTGTTTGCGACTTGCCCAGCAGCGCCCGCCTGGCCAGCAGGGGGGGCCCTCGGCACGGCGGGCCCCACACTTACCTCCTTCCAGGGTGGGGCCGTGGGAACTCCAGGAGCACACATCCCTCGGGATCTGCAGAAGCCGGAAGGTATCACTTTCCCTACCGGGAACCTCTTCTCGTCGAGGAGAACACGTGCAGTGGCTTTGGCACTTGCGGCACACACTACTGTCACTCACCCAGCGCCCCCGATATCCATGGCTAACAGATCCCCAGTTGGGTGCAGGAGCGGTTGCGGCAGATGACTCCGTTCCCTTATTGCCAGTGATTGGTTGAGTGGGAACATGTGACACAATTTTGGCCAATGCGATGGAAGCGGAAGGGGTCTGGGGCGGATTCCAAAGGGCTTTTGATCTAGCTTTGAATATAGTGGTTCTGAACTTAATGCTGTGATTTTAGTCTGCCAGTAGAAAAATTAATATACCCAAAAACCCCCTTTTGGTTAAGATACTTTGGAGGTTTTGATACAGGAACTCATTTCTAACCATTTATTTAGTTGTTTTCCTAGTAAGAAGTCACAGCTAGTGCATTAAAGAGCCCTACAGCGAGGAGAAGCGCTGCACCCCAACATGGTGACAGGCAGTGGGTGGTGGAGCAGTGAATGCTGGCTGAAAGTACAGGCCTTGGTGCCGTGCTGCTGGGGTTCACAGTTTTGCTTTGCCTTCTCCAAGCTTCTGTCTTGGACAAAGTCCTTAACCTTTCTGTGCCTCAGTTTCCCCATCTGTAAAATGGTCTGGTATTTACCTCATTCAGTGGTGTCCCAAGCCCTTCCACCAGGGACTTGCTCAGCCTCTCACTGGCCTGGTTTTCCAGCTATGATGGCACAAGGCTCTGTCACCCCGCAAGAGGGCTTGCGCAGAAGTCCGATGCCCATCCCTAGGGCCATGGCCGCACACGGTGCACCCAGTCACCACTGCCTTTGGAGGGAGACAGCTACTGTCTCAAGAGGCCATCTCATTCTTGAGCAGGGGCTGTACTCAGTGCCACATGACACCAGCCCAGCTTGATCGGCCGTGGATGGGCTGATCCAAAGGCAGCTGACCTCTGGCCAATGCTTAGTGACCTATGAAAGGATCTGGTATGAAATATCTGCCAAAACAGGCAGGATCCTTGGTTATTATAACCAGGAAACATGGAAAAATTCCACGATTGTGAATGAGAGGATACAAAAGATGACTCTGGTGTGTATAATGTCTGTACCCCAGTTCCCGAAACCTGGGAATGCGTTACCTTATGTGGCAAAGGGACTGGGTTGGGAGTAAGGGTGTGGGCCTTGAGGTGGGCAGGAGAGTGTGATCACCCAGAGAGGCCCAACCCAACCACATGGGTCCTAAACCAGAGAGCAAGTCCTGGCTGCCAAGAACCAGAGGGAGACGTGATGGCAGAATGGCTGGAGAGCCCATATTACTGGCTTTGAAGATGGAGGAAGGGGCCAGGAGGCAAGGAGAGTGGGTGGTCTGGAGAAGGGACAATGGCAAGGAAACAGATACCCCTCAGTCTCTACGAAGGAACGCAGGCTTGATGACACCTCGACTTTAACTCAGGGAGATGTGTTGGGCTTCTGACCTCCTGAACTATAACAAATGTGTTGTGCGAAGACACTAAGTCTGTGGTTGTTTGTTACGACACAACAGTGTAGAAGTCCATGCTGAGTCAGCCCTAGAGGCAGGACCCTTGACTCTAGCCTAAAGCAGGGGAGAGGGGCACAAAATAAGTGCCCCAACAGACCTGAACTTTAAGACTTGCTGCTCTTTAAGGAGTTAGCATCTGAAGCTCAGTATGGAAGTAGGAAATCTCTTTATCAATGCTACCCTCAAAAACTACTAAAGACGACACCATCTTGAACATCTACAAATTCTCTCTCAAATGAGTCCAACACAGTCAGATTTTCCTCCAGGGATGCGCTGAGCATCAGATGAAGTGGCTGGCCTGCAGCACTACGCCATACTGTACCCAATCACACAAACATAGCTTTCAGCACTAAAATCCCACTCTGTCATGAGATGCTAACACCGTAAGTGACCCTCAGGAACAGAGACTGATAAGGGGAACCACACATACCTGGTGCCTCTGGGGTCCATGACCACTGGGTGGAAAGGCAGGTGGCAACAGCCACACTTTTTCTTTTAACCTAATTTTTCCCCACAAACACGGGTGGTTGACTTTGTGGGGGTTAAATGTGAGGTCAACATGCCTCTCCAGGACTGAGTATGGCCTGTCTTCCTGTGCCATGAGCATCCCTGTGCCTGGAGCAACCTGCATAGCTCTGTTCTTGGCAACTGGAAGAGCCCAGTGAGGTTCTCCTGCTGAGAAGGTCCGAGACTGCCTTGGTCCTGCCCTTGACTTTATCCTCTCCGGGCAAGGCTCCTTCTCCAGCCAGATGTGTCTTCTAGGACAAGACTTTTCAAAAGGTGGCTGAGCCCTCTGAGGTCACTGAGCAGTAAGGGAAAGCTGTGGCTAACTTTTCCCATGTTCCATTTTCTGCTTTGCTTCATTTTTCTGACAAAGGGTAAGGAAACGACTTTCGGGGAGGTATAAATAGTAACCCAGATGGACAAAAGGGCTGGGTTACTGGGGGGTGAGAGGCTCTCTGGCCAGCCCTGCAAGACATCCAGGCCAAATCTTTTTATGGCTGATATTTTATAATCTAGAAAAATCTCACTGAGGTTTTGGTAGGGCAGGTGAGTAAATTGGACTGCATTTCATTTAGCGTTGGGGAGGCTGAGATTCTGCTTGGAAATGTATTGTGTCATTTTACTCATGGTAACAGATGTTGGCAAAGAAGGAAAAATGACAATGGTCTTTGGGTTGTCAGGTGTCAAGTTTCTCCCCAGGGGATTTTCCCATGTGCAGTTCGGGGACTTTTTACCACTAAGCTGGAAAATGCTGGAAAGAACTGTTCCAAGACCGACTGCAGCTCTGAAACTGGCCTGTGTCCTGAGGTGTCTGTTCCCTAGAGGTCAATGAGGAATTCCCAGTGGAATGAGAGTTCGTGGTAACTAGATGTTCCACCAATTCAGCAAAGATGATCTGTCCCGCAGAAGCCTCAGGCATCATGACCACATAAACATTGGGCTCTGCCTTCAGGGAGCTGAATGAAGTGTGACTCAGGAACAGAAGCATCCAGAGCATGTAGAGAACGGGGAGCCAGCTGCGTGCCAAAGGGGACCAGGGCAGGCTGGGCTCCACGGCCTGAAGCTCCCAGTCCTCTGACAGCAAGCGAGGCCTGCAGACCACGCGACAGACACCATGTGCTCTGTGCATCAGGCACTGTTGAAAGTGTCTTTCTGACATCTGATTCAGTACATCTGGGCTATGACAAGACACAGGACATGAATGTCCAGGGATGCGCTTTATGCACAGAGGGATCTAGACCCACAGAACAGGAACCTTCCTGCTGGGCCCCAAACTACAGAGGGAAGAGATCAGTTTGCAAATGCTGATACTAGCCTCTTTGTGTGTGTGTGTGTGTGTGGTGTGGTGTGGTGTGGTGTACACGCGGGTGTGCAGACTGAGTGGCTGGACATGGCTGTGGGAACCAGATGTTGAACCTGACAGCTCCTGGGCACAGCTTCTCCCACCACCTAATAGCCCAAGATGAAGCAGGCAGTGGCTGTCCCAGTAGGGTGGGTTAAGCCCTTATCTGAGACTGTGCTGTTCCTCAGGAGGAAAAGGCCAGTGACAGCAGGACTTCCCTGGGAGGAGGAAGGGAAAATTCAAGGATGAGAGGCCTTTCTCCTCTCCTATGGCCAGGGCTGGTCCCCTGAGACACCAGTGAATGGTGGCCTCTGGTGACACGGAGAGCCACACGCCCCCTGATGAATCAGCCTACACACCGGTGTCCTGTCTGTTAAAACTCTATTAACTCTGCTCCTGTCTAGGCATAACCCCCTCCTGCTACCACCACCTTGAGTGTGGTTTCCAGGCCCTGGGACAAAGTTTGGTCACAGCGCACATGCTGCATGGGGTGCCAGTAGTATGCACGTCCTATGTGCACAGCTCTGCAGCAGCCTGTGGGGGGACTTTCACGGGAGACTGTGGTGACGGCAGGGGGCAGGGGAGGGCAGTAGGGCCCTAGTATCTTTCAGTAATGTCAGCAGGAGCAGCTGCAGTGGGGACCATGGCCCAACAGGGGAAGATTCATGACAGGGTTAGTTTAAAAACAGACAGATTGTAAGTTTGGCATTTTAGGAAATACAAACAATAAACTCACTTGGAAAGATTCATAATCATACAGAAACAAAATATATTTATTAGGAATATTACAGTCATACCTGCACACTTTCATGAGAATAGTTAAGCGCGTCTATGTTGGCATGTCACCGACACCACCTGGTGCAATCGGGTGTGCTCGCGATGGAAACGAGGGCACAGCTGGATCAACCGCATTCAACCCAGACAGTTAAAGTTAGTGAGCTACTCAAGATATTATCTGGTTTAGACAAACTCTAACCTGGGTCAGAGAAGTGACATGCCCAGTGAACTTGGACAAATGACACATTAAAAATACTTTTTAAAAAAGTCACTAGGTTATATACTGCACATCATTGGCAGTTCATCTCAAAATGGCACTTGAGCTTCGAATGGGAGATTCGCTGCTGCATTTGGCAATGGGTTTGTATGTCATGACCCGAGTCCTCTTATGTCCACACACGGGGGAAATGCCTGCCATCCCCTCCATGGGTGAGAAGAGGAGGTCAGGGTGGGGATTGAGAGAATCCGGCAGTGCTTCTGTGGCAAAGGGGGTGCTTCCATGGCGAAGGGGGTGCTTTCCCCAAGGCCTCAGATTTCCAACACTGCCAGATGGTTTGTTGCCCTGGGGTACTCTGGTTGGCCTCAACTAAAGCTGCAAGACAACAACAGGATGAAGAACAAAAAGCGAAGACTAACATCGTTTTTGAACTGAGACATGTGGATCTGCCCTGCGTTCCTGAGAGTGCTAACCGAGTGAAGCCAGGCTGTGAACCTCCATCAGTCAACCGAGGTTCAAGTCCATAAAACAACTCAATGCAAAGAGCGAGCTTCTCTTTCTGTCTTTAAAAATCTCCTCCACTCTCCTGTGTCCTGTATTTTACATGTCTTTCATATAAAAATAACCCATTAAAAAAAGCATCTGCAGAACAATCAAATAATTTAAAATGACTAACGCTTGGCTGAAGGAAGATGGGAAGAAACCTGGATATTTGTCGCCTGTGAAAGCCTCAGGGCAGAAAATGGAATAGTAAGGTTTGCTGACACTACCCTTTCTCAATCTATCAATTTTCCACATTCACCTTGTGCTCTGAACTCTTCAATTAAAAGGAGATCTAAAAAACACAGCCCGTGACCCGGCCCTGGTTGGGACAGCTTCCCCCACGGCCTCATCCCACACCTCCACTGCCTCCTGCCCCTCCCCCAGGACCCAGCGGGGCCAGGACTGCCAGACCCTGTGTTTCTATGAGCAGGACATTTCCTCTTTATAAGCATGCTCTCTTCAAGTTATAAGAATAAGCTGCACATGGCCGTTCTTTCATATGACACTTTTCTTTTTAACCTAAAGGGAGCAGGCCGCAGCATGGAGCAGGGAGAGACGGCTTCACCCAGAACTCAGAACCACTTACGCTTATCACCCAAACCAGGGAACCCGTAATGCACGACACCCGCTCCAGGCATCCCAAGACCTCAACTGCCTCTCTCCGACAAAACCCTGTACTAACTCCAGAGCAAACACAACAGCTCAACCCAGCTTCTAGGGATATCACTGGTCCGCACTGTAATGGTGAGCAGGCAGAAGCTCGAGACAGTGAAAGTGTACCAGTTACACCGCCAAGGCAGATGCCCGCAGCACCGCCACTGTGGACTTCTACTTGGAGGCGTTCACCAGGAAGGGGTCAGTTAGATTGTTCCAACTGTGCCTCTAACTTCCATTTGAAAACCCGGGGGCTGGTTACGTAGTCATTGTCATCAAGCTCTGCTCAGGAGCAAGCTGTGCTCATGGCCCGGCCCTGGGTGCCCTGAAGAAACGTGCTCGCTCCTCAGTGGTTACCGGGGAACTTGAAAGTATACAGAAGACATTCCTGGTCCCATTTCAGATACTGATTCAACTGATGGGGCAAGTCAGGAGCATGGGCTCTTAACAGGCTCCCAGGAGCTTCTGCTCTACAGCCAGAGGAGAACCACAGGCAAGACAGCCAGGGCAGCTTGCCCGCCCCATGAGGGGCCTCCCCCAGGCAGGGCCTGGCCACAGACCCCAGGCCCCATGGCTGAGAACGAGGGTCCGACCGGCCATAAGAGACTTAAAGTAATGACGGCAGCATCGTAACCCTTAGTGACTTATGTCAGGATTTCCCTTGGTCAGAGGGGCGCTCACAGCAAGAGGTGGGCACCACCAATTCACCCCAACTGCCATGGCAAACTGCACCCTTGTTTACTGCCAATGGCCCTTTGTTTGCACAAAAAATACGCCACAGTGCTGCCAGGTAGTCACGTGCACCGAGCACTTGCAGGCAATGGGGCTGCTTGGGGAGCATGACGGCAGGATGGCAGTTAACCACGCCGTCCGTTAGTTTTAAGCGGAGCAGCTCTGCCTACCCCTAAGGGCTTCCTTTGGTCTGCAGTGTACAAGGCCTGATGATGCACTAAAAACTAAGTTTAGAGTTGAGATATTGTTTAGATTTGCCATCTGCCCAGTATCCCAAGAAATATACATCCTCAGACTCCTTGTGCAAATGAACAGCCTGGCAGGCAAAGGCCATTTCACACACGAGACTTTCTCTTAGCTTCTGCATTGGGACAAATGTGTGCAGGCAGGAATAAATGGGGCACGGATGGTGTGGGTGGGGCTACTGATGTTTCCCTTTCTGCATATAAGCCAGCGGCCAGGTGGGGGCATGTTTGTGGCCACGCTGAGCACACAGTGCGGGGGTAGCAGATACTTCTCTCTGCAGCCACTCCACATAGACCTCACAAACTGCCCCGGGCTCTTTTGCATTCTCAGGTGTTTTGTCTTCCATGCAAAGAAATGAACAAGTGACAGTGAGATCTAACAAATGTAATCAAGTTCTAGGTGTTAAACCAGTCACCTAGAACATAAGCGAATTTCAAAAAGGCAGGGCTTGTGTGTTTCCAGGCTGCTTGAGGGCAAATGTGTCTTTTTGTGTTTTGCTGGGTTATTTTTTTTTTGAAGGAGTGGGAGGTAGCAAGGGCAAAAGTTGGCTTTTTAGTATAACAATGACTGGTCTGGAAGTGCTGCATGTGGTGAACCTCAGTGCGGCCAAGCATGAAGTCACAGAGGGCGTGGAGATGTCCCGTGTTCTCATGGGAAGGAGCCTGGTGAGCTCTCGGGTGTGGAAGGAGGGAGGCCTGTGGGACAGCAAGGCTTCCCCAGCTTATACTGCCAATGTGTCTGGATTTAATATGCACGGTGGAACCTGCTGTGTTTCCTGCGTGTTGGTCCCCCTGGACTGAGCCTTCTTTGACATCCAGACGGCTGGGTGGTGGGCAGGGCAGGGCCTGTGGAAAGTGACCACGTGCTTCCAGGACAAACTGCAGGAGTCGGTGGCTGCTCTTGGGCCCTCAGGGTTTATGTCTCAAAGTACTTGTAGATCTGGGCCACATACTGCATCACACTCTGCCAGTCGGGCCGATCTGTGTGCAGCATCTCGCTGAGCTCCTGCAGGAGACGGGAAGAGGTCAGCGGGGGAGGACACCACAGACCCCCTTCCCACAAAGGGGCTCAGATCCAGGGTGGGCCAGGCTGCCTAGAAACCTGCCATGTACACGGATGGGAGGTGTGGGTAAGATCGAGATGGTGTTAAATGTGATTAGTTAAAAGAAAAGCCTTTTCTTCCCATTTAATCAGGAGATACCGTCCCTTTTAAAATATGTTAGACGTGACCTCCTACCCCTTTCACCTTTTAACAGCATGGCAGAATTTTTAAAAGTTTGAAAAAAGAAAGTCACCCATAATTTCATCATAATTTTGACTTTTCTAAGTTACATTTGAATGTCCAGCCATGTTCTCCTTCCCTTCCATCTCACATGCTGCTGTGTGCTCTGTGCTATCTGAATGTTTTTCATACACAGTTCCCTTGGCTGTGCTGCATGCTGGCTGCCAGTGTGCAAGGGAACCGCTGCCCCACAGTTGCCAGGACAGCTGGTTCCTGGTGTGCAGTTTGCGCCCATGTCTTCACCAGGACAGACTCTGCAATAAGCATCTGTTGAATTTGTGGCTTGAGATAAATTCCCAAGAATGGGATCATCACGAAAGCCTTGGAACCAATTGAAAGCACAACCATTGCTTTACTAGAATTAAATGTTGCCACTTAACGTTGTGGTGATGTTTTTCCTCCCTAACTTAGGGGGCAATGCAGGAGGGGAAGGTGGAGGCCAGAATGTGACAGGCAGGAGGGCTGGTGCTCTGTTGATCTCTCAGTGAAGTCCTGAGATTCATGCCACTGAGCACAGTTAATAGCTCACTTTGGGGTTCCTTTTGTGGTCACAAGAGAGCAGGAGGAAAGGACCCTGATATAAAACCAGAAGCAGGGATGCAGTGGGGAAATAAGGCTGAACTTAGCACATCTGCTCTCAGGTGCTGGCAGCTAGCTGGAGCCTATAACCAGCCATTTATCTCCCTGCTTATGCTAAAAAATTGTTATGGGAAAGGGGTGGAGAAGGGCGATGGACACGCCACACAGACATACCTACAAACAATGTAAAAAGGAAACAAATTTTCACAGAACATAAGGCTAAAAAATCACCTTCTACCTAAAATACTTTAGTCAGGGCTGTACACACAGACTTTTGCAGGAAAAGCTAAAATTCTTATAATAGGAGGCTTGTTGACATGATGATACAGAAAAGAAGCGATCAGGAACTGAACGTGCTCTCTGGGAAACAGACCAGCCCTGCGAGGAGGGTGCCTGCAAATGCAAGCGAGCTGGCAGGCCCTCCCCGACATGGCGGTGAGGGTGTGTCTTCCATCCTGGAGAGGATCTGGAGGTCTGACCCATATTCACAGTTTCACTCAGGTTACCTTATGTGCCTAAACCTAACCGTAATTAAATTAAAGATATTCAGGCACACTGTCAACATCATATCTGAACATGTTTGAAGAAATAATTTAGCACCTTTCAGGAGATGGGAGAGTATGCGGTGTTAATAAATATCTGATAACATGAGACATTTATGTGAACGCCAGACCTAGATGGAGTCACTGGTTAAATTCTACCAAATATTTAAGGAAAAAATAATACTATCCTACACAGTCTCCTCCAGGAAAGGGAAGAGGAGGGAATACTTCCTCAGGCATTCTATGAAGCCAGCACGAACCTCGTACCAAAATCAAATAAAAGCATTATAGGAAAACTACCAATCTCTCACATGAACATAAGATACAAAAATCCTTAACAAATATTAGCAAACTGAATCATGATCAAGTGGGGTTCACCTCAGGAATGCAAGGCTGGTTTAACATTCACAAATTAATCAAAGGTATTCATATTAACAGACTAAATAAGAAATCCATAAGATCATATCAACAGATGCACAAAAAGTATTACACAAAATTCAACAACCATTCATGACAAAAACTCTCTGAGAACTAAAAGTAGAAGGGAATTTCTTTCACCTAACAGAACAAAAACCAAAAGCTGAATCATACTTAAGGGTGAGAGACTGAATACTTTCACCCTAAGACCAGGAAGAGAGAACAAGGCAAGGATTCAACACTGTACCGAAGTCTATTCAACATGGTATTGAAGTTCTAGCTAGTGCAATAAGGCAAGAAAAAGAAACAAAAGGTATACAGGTTGGAAAGGCAGAACCAAAGCTGTCTTTTATTTGCAGTTGACATGATTGTCTATGGAGAAAACTCCAAAAATCTATCAAAAAACCTCTTGTAACTAATATGCAAGTTTAACAAGGTCTCAGGATACAAAATCAATAGCTCTCCTATATACCTGCAATGAATAACTTGAAAAAACAAAACAAAAAGACATTTAAAAGGCACCAAAAAACAATGTTGATGAGAGACATCAAGAAGCTCTATATGAATGGAGAGATGTTCTATTTTCATGGATTGGAAGACTGGGTTTTATTAAATATCAACTCTTCCCAATCTGAGCTATAGATTACAATATAAGGCCAATTAAAATCCCAGCAAGCTTTTTCTGTTAGAGAGCAACAAATTGACTCTAAAGTTTATAAAGGCAAAGGTACTAGAAAAGTCTAAACAATTCTGAATAGAAGAATAAAGTTGGAAGACTTGATTTCATTATTTACAAAGCTGTATTAATCATTAAGTGTGGTATTGGCCAAGGATCATGTTATGTTTATTTTACCACAATAAAAATACTTGAAAAAAAAAAAAAGATGATGATGAGGCTTCCTGCTCCTGAGAGCTCACATCCCAGGAAGGGGGAGGGTAAGCCCCACAGTCAATATACATAGCACAGAATACGCTATATAGTATTACGAGTAAATTGTGCCTTAAGAGCACAGATGGTGGGCAGGGCTTCCTGGAGGTGGGGTCAAGAAGTGGGTAAGACGTGGGCTCTGGAACTGGCCTGCCTGCCTGCCTTGACTCTTGCCTTTGCTGTTCATTAGCCATGTGACCTATTATGAACAGCATGTGCCTCAATGTTCCAACATGTTGGAAAACGCCTGGCACACAGCAAACACTAAAAAAATTTTTTTTCAAAAAAACAGCACAGGTAGCCTTGCTGTACCTGGGAGGGGGTGTTTTCCCTCCCACCTGCTTCCCTAGCCCAAACTTCTCCTTCCCGACTCTCCCTCAGGAAAATAGATAGATAGATAGATAGATAGATAGATAGATAGATAGATAATTTTCTTCATGCAATAAAATGAATTAACTAAAAACCTTTATAAAGTTTATACTACAGAGCAGGCTCAGTCATGCCTAAGGAATCATTTTATACCCTCGTAAAATCCTGAGTTATGATCTCCCTCCACAGGTGACCTGAAGAACTTAATCTCTGTGTGCATGACTGTTCCAGGGACACAGTGGCTTACTCAGTAAGCAACACCCTCACAGACTGTGCGACCCAGGGTGGGAGTGTCCGTCAACAAGACACAAACATGTCTCCTCTGGAGGACACACACCCTGGCTATTTTTATAGTACTGGCGAGGATGCTACATACTCTCTCTCACCTGTTCTGTGAGGAATGCTCACACTTGTGATGTGAGCCAAACCTCTGTATTACACTGTGGATGACAAGGAATGTATTCTAAAATTTGAGGAACAGTGGAGAGCTTTCACTTTAAAAAAATCTCATCTACTAATATGTTATAACCAGAAACCTATATTTACTTGAATATACACAAGTAAATCAACTTTTTTTCCTAACTAACCTAACAACAGAACTTGATCAAAGACCTGAGATTATTACTGTTGCCAATTCTGACTGGATATAAATTATCACGTGTAATTCAATATATTATTTTTTAATCCACATCAAGATACTGAAAAGCAAATTTAATAACGTGGGAAGTTTCTATTTTGTTGATGGACACATATATTCCTAAATACTTTTGAGATTCATCATTATATTTGTCAGTATGTCCTCACAGATATCCGTAAGAGTGCATTTGCTGACTTTGAGAATAATCTGAACAGAATGATCCCATTTGCTTCCCGGCTTTCACTAACTTCTGTAGTATATTAGGTGAAAAGGAGGAAAAAATGTTAAATTGAAAAAGCAGATATTAACTAACACTACAAAGAAAAACATATTCAGTGTATAACATAATTTTGTAACAAGTTCTCATTATATCTTTGGTTGCTTATGTGATTATCCATTGTTGCACGTTAGCTGTTTAGCATTTCAGGAGGGAAGGTAAATCAGGCTCCTGTTACTCTGTCTTGGGCAGACATGTAGGTCCCCTCACTCCTTTTAAAATTCTATAGCCTTGTTATTTACCTGATAGGGATATCTGTTTCTTAAACATTTAATAGAATTTGGGCTTACTGAGATATTTTTGTTTGTGTATGTGACTACATTTTGAACGACGAATTCAATTTCTTTAATGGTTAAAGTTCTCCTTTTTGAATAAGTTTTGAAGAAATATTTACACTTAATATTTGAAGAAATACATTTATATTTCCTTAGAAAATTGTTCATTCTGTTTCAAACACAATAGCATAACATTGTTGATAGTAGTGAAATTTCTACAATAGCTATACTTTCACTTTTTCATTTCTCAGATTCTCTACATCCTCCAAGAGTTATGGAAGTATGCCTTATCTCACTGTTATTTCAACTTAGATTTTCCTGATCACTAATGGCTGGATATCCTTTTTTTTTTGGTATCATAAATCTACTATTACATGAGGAACATTATGTTTACTAGACTCCCCCCATCACCAAGTCCCCCCCACATACCCCATTACAGTCACTGTCCATCAGCGTAGTAAGATGCTGTAGAATCACTACTTGTTGGACATCTTTATAAATGTTTATTGGCCATTTGTGAGTTGCCTATTATAGCCTTTGATAATTTTTACTAGCTTGTCTTTTATCATTGGTTAGTAGAAATAATCTGTTGATTACCTGTCTTTGATTTTTCTGCAGTTTCATTATGATGTGTCTGGATGGATATTTTGTATTATTCTGTGTGGGGATTCATTAAGAATTTGTGGTCTTTCATCATTCTGGAAAAATTTCAGGCATGATTTCTTCATATATTCTCTCTCCTATTCTTTCTTTCCTTTTCTGGAATTCCCCTGGACATGGGGCTTGGACACTGTCTGATTGTATCTTCTGCATCTCTGAAGCTCTATAGGGCACTATTAGCTGGTTAATCCAACAGTCATTCCCAACCTCTCTCTCCTTTGCAGGCTCTTCATCAAGAGGATGAAAAATGTTATATGCTCAGTTTCTCAAACTCCCTTGCAGCTGGGGTGGTCATGTAACAAGAGTACTGCCGGGGAACTAGAGGGACTCTAGAAAGCCTTCTAAGTTCCAGCTAAAGGAAATCAAACCCTGCTCTATCCTGTTCCCCTCCATCCTGCCCTCAAGAAGGGAGTGATGACTGGAGCTTGGCTGCCACATTCAACCATGCAAGAACAAGTATGAGGACAAAGAGCCAACAGAGTTAAGATGGGAGAGTATAGAGAATAGACACTCTGGAATCTCTGGTTACAATGTAGAACAGTGAGGCAATCCTGAAACTACTTCTGGACTTCTCATTAAAAAAATGAACAAACAAAAAACAACTTTATGGTTTGATAGTTGGGTTTTCCATTTCTTGCAGTTGAAAACATACTAATAAAATCCCCTAATAATATATAATATTTTCCATTTTTTAATGTCTCTGTTTTATGTTCCTGGTAATTTTCTTAGGTCTATTTTCTAGTTCAGTAGTTCTCTTTCTGCTGTATCTAATCAGTTTTTCAACCCAACTAGTGCTTTTAATTCCAAATTTTTATTTTGTCAAGTTTTGATTCTTTTTCCAAATCTTTTTTTATAGTATCATGCTCCTTCCTCATGATTTTTATTCCTTTTTATCTCTCTAGTATGTTTAAGCATAGTCTTTTGTAGTTTCTTATTGTTTCATGATCTCAAGTCCTGGTAGATGACTTTCTTGTTTGTTGTATCTGCTAACTAGCTTAAGTAGATCATTTCTGTGAGTGTTTTGTAATTTTGGATTGTGAGTGTATTTTCAGCAGCCACTGTACTACCAGCCCAGGAGCTTCCTACACCAGAGACAGTATAAACTAGGGGCTTCTTGCAGCACAGATATAAACTTGGACACCATACCTCATCTAGCCCGGTTTTCTTTTCCTAAAGATTTTGTTTTGTTTTATTTTGTTGGTCACAAAAAAAATCCAAGGTGGATACCAAGCTTGCTTATCACCTCCCTACACCGGCAGGTGGAGTATTTTTTATCTCCCCTTCCCTAAGAAGAGCAGCATTTTGTCAGCCTTGGCTTTGTGCAGGGTCTCAAAATTAATGCTGTTCATGGGAGCCTTTTCTCTTGTTTCTGTGTGGTCATTAAATAAAGCCTATGCCCATTAGGTTCCCATTTATTATGAGCCCTCTACCACCATCCCCAGCCTCACCCTAGGGGTGGCCACAGTCTCAGCTCATGCCTTGTTGCTCTGGTTTTCACATCTATTTTAATTTACGGTATCTGGTAATTTCCCACCTTTCTTCAGAGCTCAGCTATGTATTGATATTTTTAAAATTATATTTTATTCAGATTTCTAGGTGACTTCAACAGGGGAGCTTTAATGATAATTCACTCTACTATGCTTCTAGAACTGAGATTTATCCACAATGAAATCTTCATTGAAAAAACTCTAAATCATATGTAGTCACACCAACTGGATAATTTTATATTAGGGATCATGAATAACAAAACTTCAGCAAATGGATTTCAATGTTATGTAAGCATCAGTTTAGTAGATGGCATAAACTTCTTTCTTATATAATTAGAATAAAGTATCACAAGGATACAAAGTAGGATACTTACCAGGCTGGGTTTGATACCTACACTTTCAGCTGCTTCAAATGCCAACAAGAGATTCCTTTTCTAGGTTAAAAAGACAAAGAGACTGGAATTATCAACTAAAAATATATAGTTTTTGCTAGGAAAGAACACCAATTGACATTCCCATATGGGTTTATCTACTGTTATAAAACAAACTTTAAGTCAAAGATGCAAATACTGGTCTTAGTTTAAAGTAAAAAAAAAGACTTAACAGGTTACAGTTGCACTAAAAATGACATTATCAATTGATTCCTTATACTATCAAGATAAATCTTTTTTAGTTTGTCAAGATTTATGACATACATATTCTGTTGTGTATCAACAGTTATTAAACCAAGGTATTATATTAAAAAATGGCTTCCAAAATCATGCATCTTCAAAGTAATATGTGCACATAGTTAAATATAATTATATGAAAAACCATTTCTCCCCCAATCCTGGTCCTTGAGAGAAACATCTTAAATTTCTTTCTTTAATTCTTCTGGTGATTACAGTAGTCCCCACCTTATCCTCGGTGCCAGTTGCCCAAAATCAACCTTGGTCTGGAAGCAGATGATCCTCTTTCTGATGTATTGTCAGGTCAGTAGTAGCCTAACACTACATCCCAATGCCTATGCCATTCAGCTCCCTTCATCTCATCTTGTAGGCATTTTAGCATCTCATGTCTTCACAAGAAGGAGTAAGATGCTTGAGAGAGGCCATGTTCTCTCAACTTTTATTACAGTATATTATTATAATTGTTCTATTTATTGTTAGCTATTATTATTAATCTCTAACTGTGCCTTATTTATAAATTAAACTTTACCACAGGTATGGATGTTTAGGAAAAAACACAGCACCTACAGGGTTCAGTACTACCTGCAGTTTCAGGCACCCACTGGGGGTCCTGGCCCGTATGCCCCACAGCTAAGGAGGACTGTTGTGCCACCATATTTCTGTAATATGCTCACACCACTGTGTCCTGACTTCTAACACAGGCTAACTTACTAACTTCCTCTCAAGATAAACAAGGACTTAGGGTGTCCTGCACCTCTCTCCTTCATTATGGTCAACTGGCCCATTTTAGTTCTTTTCTTAGTTATGTTTATGACTTTAAATAATATCCTTAAACCTCCACTTCTAGTTCCATCGATTATGGACTCCACCTCCTGACTCCCCTTTGTATAAGGGATAGTTTCCGTGTTCTTCCCCCACCTTGTCAAGTTTTAAACTATTAAAACGTCTAATATTTGCTTCCGTCTGTAATCACATCTAAGTCTTCTGCACTCCTTTAATAGGATGATCCTGAAAGTTGAAAACAATGAGCAATATTTACACAGTAGTGTGCTATGATTACGTTTCCTTCTTTATAGTTCCATAGTCACATTGCTGTGCCATTCAAAACACTTTTTCAAAGGGATTTTCCGTTTTGTGCCTCAATCAATTGCTCAAAAAATCACACATTTTAAGTGTGCTTAACACTTTTTCAAAGGGATTTTCCGTTTTGTGCCTCAATCAATTGCTCAAAAAATCACACATTTTAAGTGTGCTCCAGATTAGGACCTTGCTTCCCCTCAAAAGTTTGTTTTCTACAGTTCTGCTTGTATTGGATTTTTCTTACTGGGAGAACCAAATGCTATTTTTTGGGTTCTAACTCATTCTCACTGTTGCTTATAATTCGTAACACTCTTGTGACAAACTAACTTTCTGTTCTGATGTGGAGAGACTGCCTCACATTTAGGTTGTAACTCCCTTGCACAGCTTCTCTTTCTTACCTTTATCATATGAGCAAGTTCTTAATCATACCATTATTCTGTGAAATCCTTCAGCCCCAGTCCTCCAAAACCTCATGTCAATTTTTGGATAATACCCCTATTCTACTAGAGCACATTCTTAGGTTTCCTTCTTAAGAAAAGTGGGGGAGGTACACTTTCCGGATGTACTCATATATGAGACTTCTCTTTCTACCATCATACTTGGTGCATAATTCGGCTAGATACAGAATTCTAGGGTGAAAATAGCCCACGTGGCTGCTATGTTAGACTGCACAGATATATAGAACGTTCCTATCATTTTGACTTAATTGGCACTGATCTAGTCACTGATGACCCCCAAGTCTGTATTTCTAGCTCTGAATCCCCTCTAAACTCTAGATTTGCTATCCAATTGCCTGCCTGACATCACCACCTGAGTACTTCACAGACATCTCAGACTTCACATGATTCAGAACAGAACACTTCCCCCCCTCAAATGTTTAATAATCCTGTCTAGCTTGTTTCACAGATTACAAAGGAAGCACCACAAAAAATTCTAATTTATGCCCTGAAATTTTAATATATTCTGTGATGATTAATTTATGTGTCAACTAGACCATGGTACTAGATATTTTACCAAACATTACTGTAGATGTTTCTGTGTATGTATTTTTAGGATGAGATTAACATTTAAATCAGCGGAGCAAATTACCCTCCATAATGTGGGTGGGCCTCGCCCAATCAGTTGAAGGCATTAATAGAAAAGGGCTGGCTCCCCTGAAGAAGAGGGAATTCTGCCAGCAGACTGCCTTCAGACTCAAACTTCAGCATCAACTCTTTCTTGCATCTCCAGACTGATAGGCTGCTCTGCAAATTTTGGATTTGTCAGCCTCCATAATTATGTGAGCCAATTACTTAAAATAAACCCATCTCTCTCTCTCTCTCTCTCTCTCTCTCTCTCTCTCTCTATCTTCTATTAGTTCTGCCTCTCTGAAGAGGCCTTTAAAAACCTAAATCACTCTGTTCAGTTATCACTATCAGTGCCATGATCATTCCTTGGACCCTACTTAAATCCTAGTGTACGATAATTAAAATACAACTTTTAAACATCTCTATTCTATCCCCATCTCATAAAGTGGTTCTGTCAAGCTAGACCCCTGGGATCATCTTCGACTCTTCCCTCTTCTTCCCCATGACTCAGGCACCAAGTCCAGGTTACTCTACATCTCAGACAGATCACGAACCTTTCTATGTCTTTCCATCTACGATGCTGCCACCCTAGTCCCCGCAAACAGGTGAAGCCAGGCAAACAGCTCTCAAATCAGCCACAGAAAGACCCTTGCAACTGACAGCTCCTCTCTCATTCCTGTTCCCTGTCCAACTCCTTTTTTCCCATAAAAGCCAGAGAGATATTTTAAAAACATGAATTGTGTCTCTCCACTGCTAGGAGTCCTTCAGTGACCCCCACTGTGCTAAGAGCAGAGTACAAACTTCTCACTAGAGCCACCGTGGAAGGCCTGCAGGGTCTGGTCCATGTCTGTCCTCTGGCATCATCACAGGCCACCCCTCCTGACTCACTGTGCTCCAGCCAGCTGGCCTTCCTCCCTGCCCTTGACTGCATCTAGGTGTTCCCCTGCTCTGCTGCTCTCCTACTCTGGAGAGCTCCCCTGAGCTTTGTGCACTGCTGGTTCCTTCATGCTCGGTCTTCAGATATCAGCTTGAATATCACCTCCTTAGAGAGACCTTCTCAGCCTTCCTGATGTGAGTTAGATCCTCCACTGCTCACTCTCAAGCACAGGCTTCTTTCATAGCTCTTCCATAGCTTGCAATTATTTATTCATAATATTACCTGTTATAGATTTATTTACTTGTTTACTGCCTGTCTACCTCATGAGGGCAAAGAAAATGTCAATATTGTCCACTGTTGTCTTTACTACTGGTCATGATGTTTATTGAGAGAAATGTTTATTGAGAGAACACAGGGCCTGGTTTAGCATTTTCCAAAGCACACTCTGTGGAATATGATTTTGTAGGATGTTCCAGGTCAGGGTTATAGCCCCAGGGACAAATCTGGCCTGTAGTCTGTTTTTGTAAATAAAGTTTTATTGGGACACAGCATGCCCATTTGTTCACAAATCCTCTATGGTAACATGGGTGCTACAGTGGTAAAATCAAATAGCTGTGGCAGAAACCCATGGACCCATGAAGTGTATCATTTGGCCCTTAACAGGAAGTTTGCCAATTCTTTTTATGGGTGATTATGAATATTTTTTTAAAAAGATTCTGTGAATCTGATTTATGCTGGGTTGAACAGTTACATCAGTTATCAGTTTCTTTAATGAAGTCTTCTCAAAGTCTTTACTATGCTAATGAGCACTGTGAATCTCTAAAAATGTGATATAACATACAGTTTCCCAAGCTAATTTGCGCAGGGGATTCTTTTTGGTGGTTTCTGTTTATTTGAAAAAGACTGAAAATGCTGGCCAAGGTCTTGAAACCATGAAGGTGAGATTCCATCAGGACTGTCTCTGAAAAATGGGTGACAGGATCTTCTCCGCAGCCACAGTAAACTGGTCTTCACTGTGTTCTTCTTGGTAACAAGGCTAGAAACTGAGAAGTATTTACTGAGGGCAGGAATCTACACTTGGTAGTCGTCTACGTCTGGTATTAATATCCTAACATGTGCTTCAAGCCTACAGACCCTATCCCCACTGGGAAGTGTCAGTAACATTAGGAATTCCCCTTGCATGTTCCAGAGGATAATGGGTAATGGGGTGGGTGACTTACTTTCTCCTGACTGTTCAGCTCCTGGTATGGGATGTGGGCAGGCAGGTAGGTATGAAGGAGAGCGCAAAAGGCCAAGCCATCACTCCAGCTGCTGCTGAAATTTGTGATATCAATGTTCTGTGGGGGAAAAGTGGCATTAATCACCAAACAGTGCCAAGTCACAGGACTGTGCCAAGTCACAGGACTTTTCAGGACTGTTAAAGTGGGTACCCATCTCTGGGTTTGCAGGAAGGCAAGATGAGAAGCTGCCCAGTTCTGCTGGGAGTACATTTAATTCTGATGCCACAAACAGCTGGTGTGGCCCAAATCCATTCACAGAATATCATGAAGTAAGTAGGAGTGTAAAACACTATGGAATCCCTGCTCACCCTCTGGTATTTTAAAGACCCTGAGACACCTTACTCTCAAGTCACCCCACCTGATTGGCTTCACAGATCCCTGCATTTCTCAGCCTCACCAGCCGAGGAGGAATCACCACCGCCATGATGCAATGGCCCAGTAACAGCGGGTAGGCCAGCCCCAAACAGGAGGCTGTGAAAGATTACTCGGCTGGTACAGCGCCTGTTTCTGCTGCTAACCTCTCCTCCCCACAGTCTGAGGAGCTTCTTGGGGAAGTTAAAACCCTGTGCTCTTCACTGTCTCCTTGCTACACCACCAAATACATGGGATTCATGAGGCTTCGTGGGGGCGCGAGGGGGAAGGAGCTCCTCCTTTGGGCCAGGCGGGGGCCGGGTGGCTGCTTGGTAAACTGGTAAGGAAACCAAAATCCAGCCTTACTTAGCATTCCATGGAGATTCTGGCTTCTGATTGCCCCAGGCAGGTCCCCTGGGCCCTTGGTGGCTCTGTGAGACCTCTGCCTCTTAGAGCCTCACACCTGTCACGCACCTGCCTCTTCCTTCCTGACCATGCGCAATGTTAACAGGGCTTTTTCCCTGGATTCATGAAGCTCATCCCAAATGAAATGTCAGGTTCCAAAGCCCATGAATTCCTTAATACTTAGGTTGTTTTACACTATGGCTGTCCAAACGCATGGGACTAACTATAGCCTGTGAAGGGGCTGAGCACAGACTGCAGAAGGGTACACACCTAGGGCCCTGCTGAGCTTAGGTCTATATTCTGGGTCCTGGTGTGATGAGAGGACTCAGGCAAGTGTGGGGCTCCTTCCTGCATCTACCCACGTCAGCATCCTGCAGCTACCCAAGTCAGCATCATGGCTCTTATTGAGACAGCCGCTGGGGGCTGGGGGAAGCAGTGAGGCCCCCTTCCTCCTCAGAATACCCCATGCAGGGAAGCGGGAAGCCAGCAAAGCCAGCAGAGACAAGGAGCTGGCTCTCTGTGAAGGAACAGATGCTGACTACCCTTCCTTGCCCCCGCCCAGCCACACGCAAACCCACGGCAGGTGAACTCTGGCTGCCTTGAAAAGGCCCTGTAGGGTGCTTCCTCCAGAAGCAATGTCAGTTTTAAGGAGAGGAAGGGTAAAGAGGAACATGGCATGAAGGTAAACTGCAGCGGGGTTTCAGGGGGGAGACATTATGGAATTCTTGGTGTGTGAAAAGAAATTTTGAATGCACACAGGTGGAAGCACGTAATAAAATGTGATGTAACATGTTTCCTGTGAGGGTTTTGGAGCAAATGACCTATAATCCCATTTGAGCTTTTTGCCTACATCTTCCCAGTGCTAGTTCAAGCTAGCCTGGATCTTAGCGGTGAGGTAGGCCAAACACCTCGATTCACAGTGAGGCCAGAGGAGGTGGTATGGCTCGACTCACATGTGGTTTACCTAGACGACGGCACGCCAGGAACCCAAGGCCCCACCTCATAGCCCTTTCTATCAAACCTCATTTTGCTTCCTGCCAAAGTTCAGGATGACCCAGGGGGACCCTACAACTTCCCCCCAAAGCAACAGCTTTCAGGAATATGTCATGTTCTCCAGGCTGTTTTGCAGTTATTTACCCAGGGAAGTCTAGCTGTCTGAGAGCAACGCACCACTGTAATATGCCTCTTCATTCTGGTTTTCACGACAAGCACAACCAGATTTAAGGGCTGCTAAGCACCGGTGTTACACAAAGTCTGAGAATGCCCTTGTTGGAAGGCCCTGTCTCAGTTGTCAGGCTGAATGTGTAATAGCTGGGACTCCTTAGGAAGCTGGTCATTTTGATTTTTGGCTTCAAAAAGTGTTTTTGGAGACTTTGGAGCTACGAGATGAGGCCTGGATACTGCTTTAGAAATAGGAAACACTTCAATTTTATTTTCTGAGGGGGTTTGTATGTTTAAAAAGCAGAGGGAAGAATCAGGCAGTGGCTATGACCTATGTGGTTCACTCAAAGTCTCAAACATTTGAAGCAGATGTGTGGACATCAGAGCCTGGGAAGGGGAAGTGAGGAGCAGGGCCCAGCCAGCCTTGGGCAAGTCAGCATCACGGCTCTTATCGAGACAAAATCCCTTCCTTTCTTTGCTGTGTACTGGTCGTTAGGCCCTATCTCCAAACCCAGTGGTCGCAGTGCCTGTGACGGGGCAGACGGAAGGCCAGGGGGCACTTGTTCACGGCAGCATCTGTGTGAACAGGCAAGATCAGCACCACGCTGGCAGTGGTCTTCCTGAAAGGCGATGTGAACCTGCGCCTCATTTACAGTGAAGAAACTGAGGGCTTAAGAGGCGGTGTTTCCATAGAAAGGCCGTATTTTAAACAGAAGGCCAAATGCTCAATGATCAAGATTCAAATCCCTTAAATATGAGTCCCCTTAAATATAAAGCTCCAAAAACAGGGGGTGGTAAGGGCAGCAACATTTGCTGAGTGCCTACAACATGCCTGCCACTGTGCATTTTCTCATTTAATTTTCAGAACCACCATACACTCTTCCTTCCTGATCATGCGCAGTCTTGTACCCATGTTACAGATGAGAAAATTGAAGCAAGAAAAAAAGAACGTAGCCACTCCCAGAGCCAGGGTCAAACTCCAGCTCCCCTGACTACAGAGCACATTCTCCTTTTCTTTTTCTTCCTCCCTCCCTCCCTGCCTTCCTTCCTTTACAGATTTACTTTACACCTAAAGCTTTTAATCCTGATAAGTCTTTCTTTTCCTACAACATGAGAACATTTTACATACTTATCTCTTGTGCGCCGTTCATGACACAAAATGCCACTTCCCTCATCTGCGTGTTCAGAAGCGTTTAGAAGCTAAAAGGGCCTGAAGGAGAGGTGGCACCACCTCACAAGGCCAAGACAGGGCCAGGTATTCTAGTGAACTGAATGCTGCTTAAGAACAGGTTTTGCATGGATGGAGCTAGAGGGTATTATGCTCAGTGAAATAAGCCAGGCGGAGAAAGACAAGTACCAAATGATTTCCCTCATTTCTGGAGTGTAACAACAAAACAAAACTGAAGGAACAAAACAGCAGCAGACTCACAGAACCCAAGAAGGGACTAGCGGTTACCAAAGGGGAGGAGTGGGGAGGGCAGGTGGGGAGGGAGGGAGAAGGGGATTGAGGGGTATTATGATTGGCACACATGGTGTGTGTGGGGCACGGGGAGGACTCAGAGAAGACAAGTAGTGACTTTGTGGCATCTTACTACACTGATGGGCAGTGACTGCAATGGGGTATGGGGGGGACTTGATAATATGGGTAAATGTAGTAAACACAATATTTTTCATGTGAAACCTTCATAAGAGTGTATATCGATGATACCTTACTAAAAAAAAAAATACAAAAAAAAAGGAAGGCACTTCAGGATGCCCCATTCAAGTAAAAAAAAAAAAGACCAGGTTTTGATCTGTAAAGATAAAAGAGTAACAGGTTGAGACTAAAACCCAGCGAGACCAAAGTCACCGCCGAAGAATCAATCAGAAAGACTTAGGACCTCAGGAGGGCCGGGACTCCAGGGCCCCAAGACACACTGTCAGGCATGATGCTCGCGCATCAGCAGCAAGACCAGCAAAAGCTACACGAGAAGGAGGTAGTGCCCAAGTTTTCAGAAAAAATAATTATGGAAATCCAAACCTAGTCCAGTCATCAAGTCCAACATCTGGGTCAGGGATACCTCTCTTTCATGTGACCTCTGCTGGCCGTGTAGAAGACTGAATTTTTCTGACACTGGCAGAGGTGGAGGGCAGACCAGCTATGACTTGTAATGTTATAGTCATTCCAGGAACATTACACTAGCAAATAAAAAATTTACCCTTCTTATCTCTGAGTGGAACAACTCCCATTCTAGTTCCCTCAGTGTCATTTGAGATTGTAATTCTATTTGAACAAGAGAATCAACAATTCCCAACTCAACACAGCTGGCTGAACAATTAAAAACGGGAATATTTATGATAGCTCAGATGAGAAGATGGTCAGTCTGATTAGCGCTGACACATCTCAATGGTTGCTCTGTTGCTCTCATTATTACCAAAGTGGTTCCTTACTGCTCACTGAGGTGTATTTCGGTGAGCCTCAGGTGTGCTTTGGTGGATGAGGGGTTGGCTGATATGGTGTGACACAATTTGATAATGCTCATGTTTTTCACATGGAATCACAGAAAGAGGTAGGTCAGTAGATGCTTTACCGGATCTCTCACTTTGTTTTGGAAAGTCGCATCGCTCTCATCAGCAGACCCGAGGGTGTGCAGGGAAAGCTAATGTGGGTAGGATGGCCTCACAGTGCAGGGAGCAGGGAACAGCACTGAAGTCCAGGGCTTTGCTGGGCCGGCAGAGTCTTCCCCTGGGTCCTGTGAACAGGGCGGTGCAGACAGTCCAGGGATGTGGGTGACAGCACACTGTCCATCCAGTTTTGGGGGGCTGGTTTCTCTGGAGTGGAAGAGCATCTGGGAGGTAGCCAGGCAGGGTGTGTGGGTCTCAGCAAAGTGCACTAAGATCCTGTCTCACTGTCGCCACCAGAGAGGTCAAGGAAACCACAGTGGGAAGGTACTCACACGGACTGGACCATCATCCTATGTAGCAGGCAGAAAGACAGGTCTCTTGGGCCAATCCTGAGCGCCCCAGGAGGCAAGGTGAGGACTTACTGCAGGTCCTACCCCTGGACGGGGAGGAAAAGCCTGCCTTTTGGTTAGGGGTGGTCAGGACTGGCTAGGCCTTAGAGGGCAGGGGTGTATCTCACTGAGCTTGGGGGCAATAGT